TTTGCCTGTTCATTTGTATCCTTTAATTTATCCTTCATAATAAATGGTAAATGTAAGTAAAATCTTTCCCTGAGTGCTGTGAGCCACTCTAGCAAATTAATTGAACCTGAAGAGGGAGTCATGGTAATCTCTAATTCATAGCCAGTTGGTTGACCTGAAGGTTTGGTTTTTCCTACTATACTCTCACACACTCAACAATTCTGACCCCAGATGTATCTGGGGTTTTCTCTACACAGTAAGCAACGTGGGTGTACTACACACCATGTGGGTGTACTATAATTCAATTCAATTCTGACACTCACACAGGTTGAGGGCTCAAACAAGACTGTCCCCCACTTCAGACAACAACTACAAGTAACAGTTTGTCACCTATACTTCTGACCAACTGGCTTATAAATCAGGAGAGTTCCCACAACAACTTCCTCCTCGGGTTTAGTTTGCTAGGACAGCTCACAGAACTCAGGGAAATATTTATGTTTTACTCATTTTTAGAAAATAATTGATACTACCAAGTATATGTCGGAAGGGGCTGGAGCTTCCATGCCTTCTCTGTGTGAGCCACCCCCAAAACGACTCCATGGCTCCAGCAACCTGGAAACTTTCTGACCCTGGTGGTTCAGGGATTTTTTTTTTAACCAAACCATTTAATTGTCATATATAGAGCTGGATCCCAAGCCCTAAGAATGCCAGAACTACACAAGTAGATCCAAAATGTGTGTGGTTTTCTCAACAGAGTTCAGAAAGGTCAGAACTCAAAGTGTTAAAAGGCAGAGAATGGTGGAATTCATGCACTCCATTCAGCAATTTTGTAAATTATCAGAAATAAACCCCAAGAATCTTTTAAGGTGGGGGAAATTCAACTCCTGGTTTTACAGTAAAGACTGAAGAGTACCAAAAATGTTATGTTGACTTCTCTTAATTTTTCTCACACAATCTGAAGGCTGAGCTGACTATTCTATGCTCATGTCATAGCAGCTGAAGCTGCAGTATAGATACAAGATCAGTCCCTCTATCCATCAAGCATCTAATGATGGTTTGGTCCGTCTGGTGACCAGTCCCCATCTAGGAGCCCACCAAGAGTTGCCTCATTAGAGCAAAAGATGCTCTTGTCACCTAGGAAATTCTAAGAGAGCTCTATGTCAGGAACTCAGATTAAAGACCAAAGAGTAGAACAAAAGATTCTCCCAGCAATCTTATCTATAAGGGTTTTAGGACCTCTGTCTCAGGAAGCGGACTCAGCGACTGTCATTAGTCCATTTTCATACTGCTATAAGGAACTGCCCAAGACTAGGTAATTTATAAAGGAAAGAGGTTTAACTGACTCACAGTTCAGGATGGCTGCGGGGGCCTCAGGAAACTTACAATCATGGCAGAAAACAAAGAGAAAGCAAAGCACCTTCTTCGCAAGGCAGCAAGAATGAGAAGTGCTGAGTGAAGTGGGAAGAGCATCTTATAAAACCATCAGATCTCAAGAGAACACACTGACTATCACAAGAACAGCATGGGGCAAACTGCTATCATGATTCAATTACCTTCACCTGGTCTCTCCCTTGACACATATGGATTAAGGGGATTATAATTCAAGATGAGATCTGGGTGGAGACACAAAACCTAACCATATCATGGCACAGATAAATTTCTCATTATTTCACATCTCCCTGTTGCAATAAATATGATGTGGCACACCAACAGTTTCCTCATCTACAACTAATGCTTTTTTTTTAATTGATACAAAGATTATCAAATTCTGACAATTTAAATAATTGTCTTAAGCATTAAGTAACTGTTCTTCACATTTCCAAAGGGAGCCATCTATATGTAAGTTAAATCATTCTTCTGTTTTCACCTCTGAGTCATAGGAAAATGGTATCACCTTCCATCTGCCACAATTGGCCCCGTATCTAGTATGAACCAGTGAAACAAAAAACAAACTCTCTTTTGGAAGCTTATTTGAAAATTCTAAGTTGTGGAGCACTCCAGAGATGCATATGGAAGATACTCTAAATACTGGCAAATAATTTCACAAGAAACCCAGCAGATGTAAATGCTATTAACTGAAAGCTTGCTGAGCAGCAATCACCATTTCTCAATGCATTCAAGATATTAAATATATTTTATTTATCTTTAAAATCATCCTTCCAGGTATAAAAGAGGGTTTACTGATTAACTTTCACAGTTTAAATCCTTGACATAGTAAATGGAAAGAAAACAAAACAAAAGAAAAGATGGGTACAACTACTTACTTTAACTATGAACATTTGACCTGACTCTTGAACTTCCCCCAAATAAAAATCCTCCCAACTACTCCAAAAGTAAGCTAAAATCAAAATAATTCTAGACATCAATTAGGATTATGCTTCCAGAGATTATGGCCTCCACATTAACTGCAATAAGATTTTTAAACTCAAAAATATGGCTAAGGCTGTAACATGTTGTGTTTTTGACACAAATCTCACATAATCCCTTAAATGTAAAAATCTATATATATAAGTACAACCGATGATAATCTGAAGATTAAGATAAGAAATCATTTTCTCCCCCAACTACACAGATTTGTTTATGCCAACTGGCTTCAGATTTTCTTGAAAAACTTATCTAATGAGTTGGTGAACTTTCATAGTTGTGTTGAAACATTCGTGGTATGATTATCAATCCTACTATCTGATATCCTCAAACAAATTTATCAGTCTGGAGCTTTAAGAGTAGAAGCATTTTGCTAGTTAACTTTGTTGTTAGGCCTGCTCATAATATTTTGCAGCCAGTGACACAGGTACAAATGTAAATTATAAATAGCAAAGGAACTGTGGTTTAGTGATACAATGGCATATCACATAGCAGTGAAAATACAGTCAGCCTTGCTATACTGTTCATTTGAATATGTAAGTTTGTTTCAACACCACTGATATATTAAGAAATAACTGTAGCACAATCCAACCTTTGCACTTGCTGATACACAAGTTTGGCAGTTGGAAGCACTAGGTGAACTAAGCCACTTAGTAATACACAAAACACACACATGCACACACCTCAAAAAAGTAGCTACCTAAGTTCTCCATGTGTTATGAGTGACATACCCACATTCCGTGTTACAACTTTACATCCAATTTCAGATAACCCTCAAGCCGCAACTCTTTCAATGATTACTCCATAAGTAAACTTCAGGTCTTTTTTTAAGGTAAAATACCAGATTCATCATAACATATTTCTTAGCCATGTAACATGTCTAAAATTGTGATACCACTTTTATCAAGCTCCTATCTTTTTAAAAATGTGTTCCAAATGAGGTTGAGTGTTGTGCTCCTAATCCTTTGTGGTTTTTATTGCATGACTGTACAATGCAGTGGTGACATTTACAAAATGTACATGTCGTGTTATAAAAGAACTCACTGAAAACCAACTATTGCCCCATGTATCAACTTGGATGAATCCTGATGTTAAGTTGAAATGGAATATGCAGTGGTGGAGGGTACTGGAAGGCAACAGTGAAGAAGTTAAACAGTTTTAGCTCCTCATGAATTTGCCTGGGCCTAGAATTAGTGGGATATGTTACACTGTTTAGGCTGCCATAACAAAATATCTTAAGACTGGGCAGCTTACAAATTTCTTACAGATCTTGAGTCTGGGAAGTTCAAGATCAAAGCACCAGCAGATTTGGTACCTGGTAAGGGTCCTCTTCTTCATAGATAGTGCCTTCTGTGTGTTCTCACATAGCAGAAAGGAAGGAATTAGCTAGTGCTCTGAAGTCTCTTTTATAAAGGCACTAATCCAATTCCCAAAGGCGCCATCTTCTGATACTATCACATTGGGGATTAGGTTTCAATGTATGAGTCTGGAGGATACACATTTAGTCCATAGCAAAGGATTCACAACTGTTTCCTGTGTATATAAGAACTGGATTTACGTCTGGGTGTGGTGGCTCATGCCTGTAATCCCTGCACTTTGGGAGGCCGGGAAAGGAGGATCGCTTGAGCCCAGGAGTTCAAGACCACAATGGGCAACATAGTGAGACCCTGTCTCATTAAAAAAAAAAAAAAAGATTAAAAAAAAAGAATTGGATCTATAATATTTTCCCTTTTGTTATGTATGAATGTTATAAAACAAATTATTTTGGAAAAAAGTATATAGTGTGATAGATACATTTAAGTTCAAAAACCAGCAAAATAAATCAACATATTTTTGTTATAAATAATACTAGGTAAAACCATAATGGAAAGGATGAGAACTATAGAGGCACAATCCCTAGAGAGAGAAGAGAAGGGAGGTTACAGCTCCCTTAGAAATGGGTAAAATTCAAGTTTGTTAGTTGAATGGTAGGTAGATGGATATTTTTTATATCAGTTGTTCTTCAAAACATGGTCTGGGGACCACAGGGAATCTAAGACTCTTTCAAAGGGTGTGTGAGGTCAAAGAAGTCAAAGCTACTTTCATAGTAAGACTAAGATTGCTTTGTCTTTTGTACTCTTGTTCTGGCAAAAGTGAACAATAATTTTCTAGCAACTTGCCATGCTTATTACAACAGATTGAATGGAAAAGCAGTTATAAGAATCCTGCTGCTTTCTATTAAGCCAGTCATTAGAAGATTTGCAAAAATGTACAACAGTGCCACTTTTAATATATTCACAATAATGTTATTTATCTTAATATGTAGTTTTTTAAATGAATTAATAAACATTTTAAAATTCTCAGTTCTAAGTTTTAATAGAGCAAATATAGCTAGATAATGACTGACATAAAGAAAAGCTCTTTGGGATCTTTAATAATTTTAAAGACCGTAACAGAGTCTTGAAGCCAAAAAATTTGAGAATCACTTTAAACTTTACAGCCGATAAACACAGACACATGACCCTTTTGTATGTAGGAAATATTTGATATTAGTAAGGTTAAAAAAAACAGTGTAGTGAAAAGACAATGAAAAAAACCACATCACCACCACCACCAAGTGCTGCTGTATATGGAAAAGCTTGTTACAATGGTTTATGTCTAATGCAGATATGACTTACCTATACTCATTCTGAGAAACACAATCATAAAGTTCCTGGGCAGTAAATTTGACACTTTTATTTACCTGAAAAGAACCCAGATATAGTTACTAAAAATATATATTAAACAAAATGAATGATGACAATAAAATTAGAGTAGCCCATATTCTGAGAGGGAATTTTCACATTTCTAGTTATTACATTAAAAGGATTATACAGTAGCAAGAAGAGTGCAGTGACCATAATGCTAACATGAAACTGTGTGCAAAAATGTGAATCCCACTGTTATAACTTAATCTGTTAGTAGAACCCGTAGAGGTGAGATGGGCCTAGATACAGTAGAGATCAAATGAACAGAAAAACACATAATAAGGTTATAAACTACAGACAGTTCTATCTGGTTTAGGAAAGCTCGATTTATAGATATTTTCTAAAGAAATGTATGTTTCAGATTACCGAGGTCTACATGTTTAAACTAGTATGTTTAAGTTAATAAATATCTATTATAATTCAGAGATACAATTTATAATACCATAAATATAAATATCTTTCATCATACAGTCGGGTGCACTGGCTCACACCTCTAATCTTGGCACTTTGGGAGGCTGAGGTGGGTAGATCACAAGGTTAGGAGTTCAAGAACAGCCTGGCCAAGATGGTGAAACCCCATCTCTGTTAAAAATACAAAAAAATTAGCTGGATGTGGTGGTGGGTGCCTGTAATCCCAGCTACTCAGGAGGCTAAGGCAGAGAATTGCTTGAACCCAGGAGGCAGAGGCTGCAGTGAGCCGAGATCATGCCACTGCACTTCAGCCTGGGCAACAGAGGAAGACTCCATCCCCCCCAAAAAAATCTTTCATCATATAAAAACTAGCTGTGGCACACATATGGAAGACACAGTGAAGGACTCTTTTATTTCTTGAAGCTTACAATTGATTTAGGCAATATACCTATTTATATGCAAGGAAAAACCTGAAAACTTGCAGAAAAAATTTTTTTGATCAGATAACAAATAGCACATTGCCTAAATTTTCAGAAATTTAGAATTAGTAAAAGGAAACAATAAGGCTAATTATATTCAATTTACTTTAAACAATATTTCTATGTTACTAGCTGGCATGCATTTTTTGGTGGGGAAAAAATGATACCACCCTGATTAAATTACCACTGATTTAAAGATTCATATTATAAAAGTCTTCTGCAGAGTTCAATGTATTGTTTACTGGCAAAAATTCCAAGACCTTCTTTAATGTTTTCATAGGAAGTTTACCATATTTGTGTAGAAAATATTTCATTCACTGAAAGTTTAAAAATACAGTTTTTGGCCAGGTGCAATGGCTCATGCCTGTAATCCCAGCACTTTGGAAGGTCAAGGTGGGAGGATCATTTGAGCCCAGGAGTTTAAGACTATCCTGAGCAACATAGTGAGACCCTGTCTCTATTTTAAAAAAGAAAAATTGCCAGGCGCAGTGGTTCGTGTCTGTAATCCAGCATTTTGGGAGGCCAAGGTAGACGGATCATAAGGTCAAAAGATGGAGACCATCCTGGCCAACATGGTGAAACCCCGTCTCTATAAAAAAAAAAAAAATACATACAAAAACTAGCTGGGTGTGGTGGCCTACACCTTTAGCCCCAGCTACTCAGGAGTCTGAGGCTGGAGAATCACTTGAACCCGGGAGGCGGAGGTTGCAGTGAGCCAAGATTATGCCACTGCACTCCAGCCTGGCAAAAAAAATTATATATTTATATACACACACATATATATACTTTTCAAATATTTAAATAAATATAATATGGATATTTTGCTTAAAATTTGTTTATATTTATGTATTTGGTATTATTTAATTATATAATATTGGATATTATATTTAATGATTATATGAAATTGGTATATAATTTACCATAATTATTAGAAGAATCTTCTAAAAATATTCTAAAATATACATTTAAACTATCAACCAGTCCACTTCTTCCTTCTTTACATGTTCTACCTTCTCCTAAGGGCCTTTGATATGTTTACTGTAGCCCCACATTCCAGTACCTACAATGTATCAAAACAAAGGCCACTAAATGTCAACACACTGCAGCTATTCGATCAGAGGATGAAAGGAAGTATCCACTTTCTATCAATTGTTGAGAAAAATCAGCTGAAGAACTGACTTTGAATCTGTTATAATATGAATATAAAATAATTTATATTAAGCTTTTAATATAATTTTTTTAAAGTATCTAGATTTATCTTTAGTTGTAAAAGCAACCATTTAGACATTTATCCAAGAACACAGCTGGGAGTATAAAAGTGACATAATTCCAGGTGATAGTAGATAATTGACAAAGTAGGTAGTCACTTTACCAATAAAGAAAAACTGAAGCACAGATTCAGGATATATATATATATATATCCTGATATATGTCTGATATGTATATATATATACACACATATACATGTATATATACACATATATACATATATATACATACATGTATATATGTATATACACACATATATACACATATATATGTATATATATGTGTATATATATACACAGATGTGTATATATACATATATATCTGATTCTTAGATCCACATATTCTTTTTAATTTTTAAAATGTTTTCTTGTTTCTTTATATCACCAGATATCATCAAGCAACAGATCCACATATTCTTATAAATAATAGGTTAGGTACTTTCTTCTAACACTCTTAGCAACAGAAAGCACTAAATTCAAAAAGAACTATGCCCCAGATTTTTCCAGAGTATGTGATTTTAAAATTGTCCTATCATTTATATATATTTTAGAGCTAGAGTCTTGCTCTGTCACCCAGTCTGGAGTGCAGTGGTATGATCATGAACACCTGGCCTCAAGTGATCCTCCTACCTCAGCTTCCTGAATTGCTGGGATTACAGCTACCATGCCCAGTTCCACAAATATATTTCTGTTAGACTTAATGTTTTGATTTGAAATTCAGAAAGATGAAATAATTACATGAATCATCTAAAAAAAGTCATCTTAATAATTATATCACGTGGTGATAAAGATTTAATGCTGACTCTTTTATTTTTATTTATTTATTGAAATGGAGTCTCGCACTGTTGCCTGCCCTGGAGTGCAGTGGTGCCACCTTGGTTTACTGCAAGCTCCGCCTCCCAGGTTCAAGCGATTCTCCTGCCTCAGGCTCCTGAGTAGCTGGGATTATAGGCACCTGCCACCATGTCTGGCTCATTTTTTTGTATTTTTAGTAGAGATGGGGTTTTACTATGTTGGCCAGGCTGGTCTCAAACTCTTGACCTCATGATCCACCCGCCTCGGTCTTCTAAAGTGCTGGGATTATGGGCATGAGCCACCATGCCCAGCCTATTTTTATTTTTTTGAGACAGTCTCACTTTGTTGCCCAGGCTGTAATGCCGTGGTGCAATCTCGGCTTACTACAGCCTCTGCCTTCCAGGTTCAAGCAATTCTTCTGCCTCAGCCTTCTGAGTAGCTGGGATTGCAGGCCGGTGCCACCACTCCCTGTTAAGTTGTATACTTTTAGTAGAGATAGGGTTTCACCATGTTGGCCAGACTGGTCTCAAACTCCTGACCTTTCAAGTGATCCACCTGCCTTGGCCTTCCAAAGTGCTGGGATTATAGGTGTGAGCCACAGCACCCAAGCAAATTAAGGTGGACTCTTAAAAAGCACATGTGAACACTATTCATTGCTTAAACAAAACTAGTGAACTATCCCCCTCCCCCTTTTTTTTGAGACAGGGTCTTGCTCTGTCAAGCAGGCTGGAGTGCAATGGTGTGAACATGGCTCACTGCAGCCTTGACCTCCCGGGCTCAAATAATCTCGCTTCAGCCTCCCAAGGAACTGGGACCACTTTTTTTTTTTGCTTTTTGGAGAGATGAGGTCTCACTGTGTTGCCCAGATTGGTTTTGAACTCCTGGGTTCAAGTGATCCACTGGCCTCGGCCTCCCAAAGTGCTAGGATTACAGGCAGGAGCCACTGAGCCTGGCCCAGGCTAGTTAACAATTATCATTCACTCACTCTGTGCCTGGTACTGTTTGGAGCACTTTACATACATTACATTATTTAATCTTTGCAGAATACACATAATTTACCTACTATTGTTACTCTCATTTTACAGATGAAGAAACTGAGACAAGGAAAATTAAATAACTCTTCCTAGATCATACAATTAATAAGTAGAAGAACCAACATTTCAGCACAGGTAATTTGACCTCAGATTCTGTGTTCTTCATCACTGGTTTTTAACAGAAGATGTGGCACACAGAAAGTTAAATAAAGAGCTAACCAGGAATAAAAGTGGAAAATATATTTAAAGGAGTCTGACTTCATAAGAAATGTGAGACCTGAATATATGCCACATTCCTTCATTTAGAATGTTTTAAAAATTAAACACATATACACACAAAATTGAAAAGTAGGAATATTACAGGAAACATGGGCACAGAACACTAAGCAACTAGAAACTGACAATCAACAGAATACCCTCTTCGGTTCAGCAATAATGAGGAATACATGCAGGTTAATTTACAAAATACATTGAAGCCTCATTACAGTTCTAACCTCAGGGTTTGTGCTCCCACTATAGAGGAAAGTAAATTATAGCTTTCCTTTCCAGTAGTAAGTGGTTCTCAAACAGGAGTCCTTCCTTTCTGAGGTACTCTGGGTATGTGAGTTGGGTGGGAAGATGAAATACTTTTGGTTGTCACAACAACTGGGATAGCTATCGGCATTTAGTACCTGAGGTACAGGGATGTTCGACATCCTGCAGTGTTCCACACAATGAAGAACTGACCTGTCCAAATTGCCAATAGCACCCCAGATGAGAAACAATTTCGCACTGGAGAAAGTGTGTCATCTTAGGACTCTATTATATTCATACTTAGGGAATGAAAAAAGAAATTGAATATGTCACTTGCAGAGAGGAGAGGAGGAAATAGATAGATAGAGGTCACAGGATAGGAAGTTGCAGATACGTAGGATGAACAAGCCTAAAGATCATACAATGTGAGGAATATAGCAAATAAGATTGTATTATATTCCCAATTTTTGCTAAAAGAGTACATTTTAGGACTCTTGTCACACACACAAAAAGGGGTACCTGTAAGATAATGGATATGTTAATTTACCTACAGAAACCATTTCACTATGTATAGCATATCAAAACATCATGATGTACACTTTAAATATACAGTTTTTTAAAAGGGAGAAAAAAATAATATGTCACAAACTTTTATGGCATTCAAGAATTTAAAGTAAGTATCAATTAAATAACATTCCATTATGTTTTAGAACTTCTACTTTGTTTATTTACATTAAAACTTGTTTAAAGTGGAAATGTGATAAATACTTTAAAATATTTCCCATACCTCATGCTTGATTAGGAAGTTATAGAGGGTCTCAACATCTTGATAATTACTATTTGGGGCCAAAATCCTAACAAATAAGATAAAAACAAAGGGGGGGAATAAATGATTTCAGAAAAGACCAACAGTTTAAATTTTCTCCCCAAACATACCCATACCATGAGAGATAACTTATTATTTAATAAGCTTAAAGTTTTATAATATTTTCAAAAATCAATTAAAAATTATAAAATCATGAACTTAATTCAAGAGGTCAAGTTATTAAAATGTTTTTGCTCATTTAAATTGATACTTATAACATCAATCAACTATAAGCATTCTTACATGTGAAGTTATAGTTCACATTTTAAGTTACAATAATAAAGATTTCTCAAAAAGCAGATAGAAATGTGACGTGCATTTATACTTCATTATCTTTTAAGCTGCAGACAAAGCTTGAGTATTCATCACAGAAATGTTCAACGAGTCCAAACAGACAACTGATGAAACTCTTAGACACTTAAAAGATATCCTAATAGAAGATTTTGACAAACTTCAAATAACATTGCTTGAAGTATCAGCCTATAGCTCTATGAAAAATCAGATTACGTAAATTGTTGAAAATAACACTGACTTAAAAAAAAAAATAACAAATGACAGAAACAGAAATCAAACAAGTTTTTAAATTTTTTTTTTTTTTTTTTTTTTTTTTTTTTTTTTTTTTTGAGACAAGATCTCACTCTGTTGCCCAGGCTGGAATGCACTGGTGCAATCACAGCTCATTGCAGCTTCAACCTCCTGGGCCTGAGCAGTCGTTCTACCTCAGACTCCCAAGTAGCTGGGACTACGGGCATGCACCACTAAGTCCATTTAGTATTTTAAAACATTATTTTGGTAGAGATGAGGTCTCCCTATGTTGCCCAGGCTGGTCTCAAACTCCTAGGTTCAAGGGATCAGGCTCCCAAAGTTCTGGGATTATAGGTGTGAGCCACAGCACCTGGCCATAAAGATAAAGGGAAGAACTTATTTTTCTTTCTAGTAGCAAAGTACTAATCCTCATTTCGTTATACTAAATATTTTCTCATCCTTTCAGCATGAATACTTTTTTTCCTTTTGGGAAAGTAAACCAGCGTGTCGTTCTGGTACAGTGCAGTGGCTCTGAGTACTGTTTGTCTAGCTGTGTGAGCCACCTAACTTCTATGTGATTTATCTTCTTATCTATTAAATGAGGATAATTGTCCCTACTTCATAGGGCTACTGCAAGAATTAAATGAGTTACTACAAGAAAAGTCATTACAACAGCGTAGGGAATACAGCAAGCACAATACAGTATATGTCAATTATAACAGCAACAGTAACAACTATCACCATCATCTAATACAGATGCTCCCTAACTTATAATGGGACTATACCAGAATAAACGCATTGTAAACTGAAAACATCCTAAGTAGAAGTGCATTTTGACTTGCAATATTTTCAATTTATGATGATTATTGGAAGGTAACCCCATACTAAGTCAAGGATTGTACTAAATGCTTTGCACCATTATAGAGTTGAAAAATCCTAAATCAAACCATTGTAAATTGGAAACTGTAGTTTCCAATCTGTAGTTTCAAGCCATAAAATAAGTAAATATTGATATAATTAATAAGAAATCAAGTCACCTAAATTAATTTCTAAATTCCTAGTGGCTTTCAATTACAATGCTGTCTCTGGGTCTTCATGTCATTGCCAATACTTGAATCTGTCAAACCTGATAATTAACTGATCACAATAATCTTAATTATATTTTTAGACTATTTGGCCTTTATTATACTTGTGGGAGTGCTTTTATAAACAGTTTTTCAGTACTGTTTTTAAAGTAAAATTTTTAAAGGCCCCTTGGAGGGGGCACATACAAAACATCTTTAAGAATATACGACAATCTCCATAAGAATACTATTTCATGGAAAAAGTTTTTCTCCCAACAAATAATTTTAAAATATAAAAAAAAATCTCTTAAGCCCCCAAAAAAGCCCTGAGGGATAATACATATGGAGAAGGGTCCATACAAAATTTGCTTGAAACATGAAGACAAAGTTATCTAGACAAGTTAAACCAATCCTTTAGAAAGGCAATGGGGAAACATCCAAACTACTGTGTTCCAACTTGGTAACCCAAGTGAAAACAAACTCAGCCATGTGGAATAATTTATACCAATTACTTTTTACGGCTTTAGAAATAATCTGAACTTTCCATAAAAGAGGATGAGACAATTAGATAAAACAAGATGTTCTATATTAAGAAGTTACTAAGTTTAACATACTATATTAGACCCTAGAGGATGAGACAAACTCCAGTGAATAATGTCCAACCCTTACAATGTATTTGATGAATAAATAAAAAGATAAGATACGTACTAAAGATGCCCAGATCAGAACAAGGGACCCTTTATTCTCTCACTCAACAACTATTTTGAGACCTACAACCAGGCAAGCACTGTTCTGGGCCCCTGGATACCACTGTGAACAAAAAGACAAAGATCCAGAGTAGCCCAAAGCTTCATGATTCTAAAGAGCACAAGAAAGAAACAAATCCTGACCAGACACAGGGAGATAATGAAGGAAGAAAAATATCTCATTCTTGTCCATTTGGCCATCTCTTCCAACTTTTCAACTACTGCTTGTAAACAAATTAAGCAGCACAGAAATTTTAAGTTTCTAAGAAAGAAGTAATTTGTTCTAAATGTAAATATTTCATAAAATATCACAGAATTGTATTCTAAGGAAGAAAGGTTTACTGGGATCTCATCTTCATTCACAGATATACTACTTTTATAATCAGAAGAAAAACTACACGTTACTTTTTAAAACCAGGATATATATTATATGATATGTTATAAAATTTGTTATTTTGAAAGAATGGTTAGAGGTAAACTGATCCCAGAATGGACCAGATAACCTTTACTAAAATGCAGTCAACTTGGCGTTGAAATTAGACTTCATTACTTCCTATGAACTGTGAATATGAGAGAGTGGAATGTGGCCTGGCACAAAAAACTGCAAACTTTTACTCACTAGAACGACGCCTTGTTGAAAATACATAAAAAATAAAATGGAGAAAAATGCCTTAGTAATTCCCCACACAAAAATTCTTGAGAGGTCAGCCTTCCCTAAATTTTTCTCATTCTTTTTTTCGTATAGCAGTATGAAGACAAAAGGCTTTTTGAATGAAAGTCCTAAAACTGCCTTTCAATGGCGATGCTTTAAAAGAACAGTAGAATAAAGAATTAGCCCTTGGGGAAAATATATTTTAGATAATGGCCATTTTTAAAATTTATGAATATATTCACATTTGTCTTTTAAAAAGAAATTCATAACAATTACAGTAAGTACATATTAAATGCATATTTGCTCAAATGTGTATGAAGCTATGAAATATTAAAAAAATAATAAGACATGGTCCATTATCCTCAGCTGGTTTATAATCTTAAAATTTCACTCTTGAATTCTGGAATGAGTTTTGAGAAACAGACATTAAAGCAGGATGTACTCTGCAGCTCACAGCCGGATGTACTCTGCTTTCTTTTACGACAGCAACAATAATAACACATAATGACTTATTGAACACTGAAGTCTGACCCTGCTTTACATACGCCATCTCCCTCAATTTAATTCCCTAAACTTTTACACCCTGAATTTGGTTTTGCAACCTTGATCAAGTTGCCTACTTTTCTGTATCTTGGCTCCTTACCTGTGAAATGGGGATAAAGTAGTGTTAACCTCATAAAGTTACCTTACAAATTAAGTAATGCATCTATAATGTTTAGCACTACCTAGGGCACACAGAACATGTTCAATAAATATTAGCTGTTATATAATGACCACTTTTCAGATGTAGAACCCAAAGTCCAACATTTTAAGATACTTGCCCAAGATTACACAGTGAACGGTGGAAGGTATTTAAATCTCTTTGGGTTTGAGTCTGGAGCTCATACTTTTCCCACCAAGAAAAGGACAACCACCACCATCTTCTTGCCTTTAAATTATTTTACAAAATCAAATGAAATAAAGTTCATCTAAAATAAAGTATTACTTTTATATGTAAGCAAAAGAAGCTATCTTTTATCAAATGCTTCTAGCAAATTATTTCATGTATGTTCAAACACTAAATCTTTGTAGTTGTTTTATCTTTATCAGAGCCACAAAGCAAGTCAGTTAACAAAACCAATACTCACTAAAGGACCTGACTCAGTCACATAGGTACTCTGAGTATTCTATTTATCCATGAACAATTAGCATCAATATTAATCTGAATTAAACAAATTTCATTTCTATATAACTCAATATTAGATAAAAATATTAATATATATCTTTAAGAAAAAAAAATGCCACTTAAGGTTTAAAAAAAAATTTCTCCCAAATGCCAGTCAAGGGAAGCAGTGGGAGTGGAGAAGCAGCAAAGAAATCTGTAACAGGTTGTGATTAACTGCCACTCAAGCTTTTAGAGACAAAAATTCATCTGACTTAAATTAAAAAATAATTCATTAAAATGGAATAAACTTTCAATTTGAATTTTAAAAATTCAAATAAAACTTATCTCCTATTTAGGAAAAATAAAGAAGTTGCAGATTCAGAAACAAGGAAAGAAATCTAAAATATTCCAGTTTAATATTTAATTCTAGAAATTGAAAAAAGTAAAATACGTTCTTGGACATTTACAAATCATGACTTACAACCCACAGAACTGAATAAATTGTGGTCCCTTCTGGCAAAACAATGTTTGACATTAATATAATATTTAAAATAGTTTCAGCCGGGCATGGTGGCTCATACCTGTATTCCCAACACTTTGGGTGACGGAGGTGGGCAGATCACAAGGTCAAGAGATCGAGACCATCCTGGCCAACACGGTGAAACCCAGTCTCTACTAAAAATACAAAAAAATCAGCCAGGCATGGTGGCACGTGCCTGTGATCCCAGCTACTGGGAAGGCTGAGGCGGAAGAATCACTTGAACCCAGGAGGCAGAGGTTGCAGTGAGCCAAGACTGCATCACTGAACTCCAGCCTGGTGACAGAGCAAGATTCCACCTCAAAAAAAAAAAAAAAGAA